ATTTGTTATTGTTATTTTAATTTTTATTGGCATCACATTATTGGAAGTGATACAAGAAGAGGAAGGCAACCAATAGTGTGAGTGATTAAACCAACTGCAAGAAGATAGGCTAAAGCTTAGGTTGTAGCGAAACTCCTGGGGATGAGCGACATCTGAGGAATGAAGGATTGTGTGCTGAAGGTGTTATTATCTCTCCTAGAACTCTGACCTGCCTTGAGTCCTGGCAGAGACTCTCACTGGAGAAGGGGATATTGCCAGAATTTCTTTCTGCAGTAGGTCCTTGGTCTTGGAGATTCAAAGAATGAACCAATGGACCACAGAGATCAGTGATAAAATGAAATTTATAAATATAGAAATGAACAGGGAAGGAAGAAAGGGTATCAGAGCCTGTGGCTGAGGGGGAAGACCCAAATGGAAAATCTCCTCCGGAGTCTTTAGCCTGAGAATTTTACACTGTTTTGGGAATGATGCTTGGCCAGAACTTGACAGACTTCAGTGTTGGTTAGTGAGTGAATGAGTGTAATAACAAATGAATGCAGTTCCTACAATTTCAGAAATAAGCAAGAGGAGGTCTACTCCAGAAGGGACCTAGCTTACACCAAGTCCTGGAAAAATTGCTTTTCTCCTATCTTACTTATATCCAGAGAGTACAGTTTGGGAAGGAAAAGTCTGTTTGTTTATACCTAGAAAATGGGGGTCTCTGTCCAACCCTGAACAGGGGAAACCCTGTGTCAGGGAGAATTGGAAGAGCCCGCAGGTACAGATGAGGATTCCTACAGTTGTGGAATCACACAGAAAGACCTGATGGCTACGAACACAGTATCTGCTATAGCAGACACACTACTTTGTTTCCATCATAACTAGAACATACTCTTATAAGAAAGCAGATAATATCATAATTGTATTTCCATAGACTTCTCTCACTTAAGGGCAGGAACCATATTTTATCAATTTTGTTTTCTGCAAGGATTAGTATTGTGCTTGCTACATAGGACAGACTGAATGCACATTTGTCTAAATAATTAACTATTGACAGGATGTCTTTTTATTTGCCTGGTCAGTTGAGAATCATTAAATACAACTGTTAGTGATGATTTGAACCAATTCCTAGATCAGTGTTTTTCAACCTTTTTTATCTCATGCTACACTTGAAGTTAGTTAAACTT